TTCTTCAATGGCATAAAGGGCAGTGGGGTAGTAGAGTGCCTGGCCCCCAACCTCCCATCCTGAACTATGTGAACTTGGGAGATGGGTCTTCAGTTATGGATTCCCTTCCTGAACAGTCATCCCTCATAATGCCTTTTCCCAACTTAGCCCAAATAAAAACTTCTTTGGTTACCAAGTCTTTCTGGCAATGATTTCCCCACAATATCCCTTTAAACAGTGGGGGTGGGGGGAGAGAGAGCAGGGGCCGCCAGCCTTGGAGAAGAAGGTCCTGCTGTAGAAGAGACGATGCCTCTGAGTGGAGCCCCCAGGCTCAGCCTGACTTGCAAGAGAGTGGGGCAGGACAGTCTCCAGGGCAGCTGCTGGCCTGTCACTAGCCAGCCTTTAGCTCTCTGGAGCAATGCGGTGTCCAAGGCCCCCTTGGGAAGGAAAGAACTAACTGGGGCTTGGACGGGGGAGCTCTGGTTCCACGTTAAAAGAGAAGGGCAGCTTCCTGGAAGGGGTCTGTCTTTGCTGGGCCACAGAGAGGGGCTGAGCTGTGCCTGACTTCCGTCTCCCGCTCTTGGAGGGGCCAGAGTCTGTCTTGGCAAGGACAGTGGCCTCTTGCAGTCCTTCTCCCACAAGCCTCGTGGGGGAGGATGCCGGAGGGGTCCCATGCCCTTTGGCACCTCCTCGGCCTACATTGCTCCGTAGGATAAAAGAGGCTGGTACCATTTCTGCTTTCATCCGGTTTTATTGAAAAGGAAATATACAAAAAAATTTCCACCTCTTCACAAGATACAGACAACCAAACCTTCAGGTAGGTACAGGCAGCACCCAATTGTATTCTATGTACAAGCATGAAGACTGTCTATATACACACAGCAGCAGCTGCAACAATGTGCAGGTTTTCTTCCTCTCACCCCACCCCCACCACATATCTACATACACATCCAGTCTCTTTTTACAGTGGACATTGTAGGCTGCCCCTCTAGAGTCGAGGTGGCAAGTGCAATTCTCTTCTCCCCCAACCCGCACGTACAGGCTCAGTGAAAAATATTCACATAGTGCTAACTTGTCTCACCCCTACCCATCTGTGCAGCTCCCCATAAGGCACTGCTGGGCTGGGCGCAAAAGGGTGCCATGGCGCTCGGCAACTCAGTGCAGGGCGTTGTTTGCCCACCGCAATGGGCTCTAGGCCGGCTGCTTGCGGGCATCTGTTCTTCAACTGAGGCTGCGGTTCCCCTGGCCAGCAGGAAGAGAAGTCCCAAAGCAGCTCAGTGGATGGCTCTTGGCTCCAAGGCTTGTCTGTCACCCTCTGGCAGGTAAGTTGTCTAAGATACCCAGTAGATGGAAGACGAAATGGTACAAGTGGGCCCAGAGGGCACCTCGAGGCCTGCGTTCCTAAATGGGCCAGAAGAGGACACAAAGAAAAACTGTTGAGCAGGGACATGGCTGGCCACCCCCAGCTCCCTGTCCAGGTGCTTGAAAGGACAAACACCGCTCTGCTGCCTCAAATGCACAAGTATTAATACACTCCCGAATGGCTGCTGGGCCGGGCCCTGTCCACGAGTAAAGAGGCTGAAGGGGGCGAGTGCCCCAGTTGGCCTCTTTCTGATCCAGGATGCAGCAGCTCCAAGCCTGGAAACTGGATTCCCCAAGGGAGAAAGAGGTGAGGCCAGCACTCTTTCCTCTGCCTCCAAAGCTTACCCTCTGCTCGTGGTCTTGATGGAAACGGTCTCCCATGTGGCGAAGCCGAGCCCCAATGGCCTGCTCCAGGCTGAGCGGGGTTCTCGGGAGGTGCCCATTTGGGCCCCTTGCGCTTTGTTCTGGTTCTGTGGGGGCTTCCTCTTGGGTGCTGGGTGCTGTTGGCTGCATGCTCACTGCGGAGGAGAAGGAAAAAGAGGTCAGGCAGGCAAGGGTGCCTTCTGGCAGGTTGGGACAGGGCTCAGCAGCAGGAGGCGGGGGGGGGGGGGNGGGGGGGGGGGGCTCCAGTGTGGTTTCCTATCTCCTTGGTAACTGCCAGCTGCTGCAGCTTAGCAGGAGCATTTCAGGACACAGCTTTCGTGTCTGCACTCTGCGGGGCTGGGGGGTTGAGATCCTAAGGGCAGGCAGGAGGGATCCCCAAGCCAGCAGGGGTGTTGCCTGCCCTGGTGTCAGCAAGGAGCTGGGTAAAAGCCTGGCAGGAGCCTAGTGGAGGCTCCGGGCACCGCCCCCTGGGCCTCTGCTCCCGCCCTCTCCAAAGTCTTCCCGGGCTCCAGAGGACTGGCCTGATGTTGGTGCGGTTTTCCTGGAGGGCTGGGAAAAGCGGGCAGGGCTCCAGGATGGGGCCGAGCCTAGGTTTCCCAGAAAAAAAGCTCCGCCAGGCACCAACTCCAGCCACGGCTCGTCCGGGTAGCCGTGGAGGCAATGCAGAAAGAGAGCAATCGGGCCGAGCTGCGGGCAAGGCTCGGAGCAAACTCATCGAGGCTCGGCGGCGGGACCGTCGGCTGCCCTGGCCGATGCGCGAAGCGAAGCCACTCACCACGGACGCTCCCGGGAGGCTCCAGCGCCCGCCCGCAACGATAGAGGCAGTTCAGCCCGGGTGGCAAGGCGAGCGGCGGGCGGCAGACGGAGGGCGGCAGGGCCAGCGTCCCCCCCACAGGGAAGGCTGAGCTCCGGGACACAGTTGCTGTCGGCTCGGCGAGGCTCCGGTCCTGCAATGGTCTAGCCATGGCGCTCGGGGGGATCTGCCGGGCAAACAGCGGTCAAGGCACCGAGCGACGAACCGCCTGCCCGCGGGGAACGCGGCAGAGGCTCGGCGACCCAGCCAAGGGGCGGAGCAGAGCGGCCGCGCCAAACCCCATGTTTGTAAACAAACCAAGCGGCGGTTCGGCACCTGGCTCGTCTCGGCTGCGGGGTTGCCCTGGGCACGGGGTCTCTCCCCGCCCCAACACCAGCCAACGCCCTGATCCCAACCCCGTCGCCGCTGGGCTGCGGCCACGTGTCCCCCGCCCGCCTCCCCGGCCGGACCGAGTCCCGCCGCCCCGCCGCGGCGTCCTCCCGCACTTACTGCAGCTGCATGAACCCTCCGGGGCGGCTCGGGGGTCGCGGGGCAGCGCGGGGCTCCGACTGGCACGGGCGGCGCGAGCGGCGGCGCGAGCGAGGCAGGGCAAGCGGACGCGACAGCGGCGGGACGATTCTCCCTGCGAGCCAGGCAGCCGCGCGGAGCAGAGCTGCCAGCCCGCGGACCCCGCCCGTCGTGACGTCACCGACCCCGCCCCCAGGCAAGTTCGGGCTTGTGCAGGAGCCGGGGATCCCCCCGCGGGAGGGGCGAGACGCCCCTGCCCGGCCGCCTCTCCGGCTAGGCGCTCGTCTCCGACCGGGCGGACAGGGCACCCGAGCCCTCTATTCTGGCCAGCCCCGCTGCTGCGGATCTGAAAGCAGGAGCGCAGCGAGAGCGGGTGACCCGGGCGGCGAGGGCGCTCCGTGGCAGCGGCTCCGCATCGATCCTGAGGTCGTGCCCGCCTCCCGTTCTTGGGGCGGAATTCTTCTGTCTAGCGCCAGTCGGCCCCTCCAGCCCCGTTTCTTACGTGAAAGGGCAGGCAGACAAAAGGCAGCTGACCTCTTTGGAGCCCAGCCCGGTTTTCCTGCCCGGGACAGCGGGACCATGAGCCGAGCAAAGGGTTCTGCAGAACCCTCAGACGGGAAGGGCCGGAAGACCGTCCCTAGGCGAGGGGGCCAGGTCGGTCTCCAAGCCCGGGGCCGACGCCTTCGGTTTCCCGGTGAAGATGGGCAGAGGGGCTACCAGGCCTCCGCCGCTAACTCATCCGCTGGGGTGGAGCAGAGGTTGTTCTAGCGGCCGGGCGGTCCTTGGGAAAGGCGCTGGGGTTTAGTGGGTCTTTGTGCAGTTGCCATGAAGTTAAAGAGCCTCTTTGCCCCAGCTAGGCGTGGGGCCGGTTCTGGTCACTGCGCCAAGCTGACGGCTGAGCCGGAGGAGGCGGAGGAGGAGGCTGTTCTCCAGCCAAGGACCGGAGCCCGCCCGCACCTTCCGCCAACACCGGGCAAAGTCCGCTGGGAAGGCGGTGAGGGGGCAGTGCTTCCGCCTGACGGCTGCCTAACCAGACCCGTCGGAGAAGAGACCCGTCGGGCCGCTTCCTTAAGCCCCTGGCCCGGGCTGACCCTTAAGAGGCGTTGGGCGCGGAGCACAGCTCTGAGCCTGGCCCGCCCACGGCTCTGCACGGCCGAGGCGTTTGTTTATTCCGAGCGGCCGCGCGATCGCCCAGGAGAGCGCCGCGAAGGGGCGCGCGGCATCCAGAAACAAGCGGGCGGGGCTGCAGTCGCTCGCTCGCCTCTCCCCCTCTGAGCTGCTGCTCGCGTGACCTCCGGTGGAGGGATCCCGCCGTCTGGCTGGCTGAGCCCCACCGCCGCCGAGCCAACGAGCGCCGCGTCGCCGGGACGGGAGCCGGGCAGCAGCCAATGGCGACGCGAGGCGGAGGGGCGGTCGGAGCGCTTTTGCAGCTGTCTCTGTTGCGCTCTCCCTCCCTCCCCCCGCGCTGACATCACTGTTTATTGCTTCTTGGCCGGGCGGGAGGAGGGGGCTCGGCTGGCACATGCGCCGGGCTGGGCGGGAGGAACGCCTCGCTTCGGCGGCTGCGGCGCAAGTGAATTTGCCCAGTGACAGCCTCTCTCCCTGCGCACGCCGCCTCGCGATGAGGTCATCCCCGGGGACTGGGGAATGGTCCGGGGGAGGCAGTGGCGAGGCTACCCGGACACCCGCCGTGCCTTCTAGTCCGTCCCCAGCTGGCAGGGCGGAAGCGATCCGCGAGAACACGGTTGGCCGCGCTCTCCACCTAAGGCGGGCGGAATTGGCCCTTTGGGCTCAGTCCGGGCAAAGGATGCGGGGCAGATCGTTTCTGACTCGCCGAACGCGGCGGCGAGGCTGGGAATGTCCCGGGGCCTTGAAGGCTGACGCCTGGCAGTTGGAGCAACGCTAGAAACCTGCCACGATCTAACCCGGGGCCGGTGCGGGAGGGCATCCGGGGATGTCAGGGGAGTGTCGCGATGCGTCCGCGCTCGAGCAAGTGCGGCAGAGGCGCTCGAACAAGTGCGCGAGCGGCTGCCGCGAGAGGGATGCCCTGCGCTGGGCCACGCGCTCCCGTGGGTGATTTGCCTCCGCGGCGCCGGGCGCTTCCATTGGCCATCGCGGGCGGCGCGCAACCATTCAGCGCCCGGCAAATGCCTGTTTCCACAGGAAAAGCCCTGCCGGCCGCCCAGAAGCCCGGCAACACGCGGCCGGCGGGTGCGGCCACGCCCCAGCCCGCCTCCCCCGCCCCTCAGCTGACTCCGGTTGCGCTGCCCGAGGCGCGCAAGCACCGGCCGGCTTAAGCGCCCCACCTTCGCGGGCCGGAGACCATTCGGCCTACTCGCTTCGCTGCGTGGGCTTTGGGAGTAGGTGGGGCCCGGTGGGGCCCGGCGCGTGGCGGGCCCTCCAACTCCGCGGCAATTATGGCCGCGGAGCTGCTCTCCACGGTTCTGATGCTTGCCTGGCCTTACGCTAAAGCCAGAACACCGAGGGCCAGGTGGGATTCCGGAGAACTCTTGGGCTGCGGAGTCCCCCCCCCCCTGCCCATGCGCTGCACCCGCTCAGCGGCCCGGGAGCGTCTCTAGGGCCCCGATATTCATTTGGCAGTTCGCCAGCCCAACCCATTTCAAGGGGGAGCCGCGCCCCCCGCCCCTCTTTTGCCTTCGCCGCCGGTGCAGCAACAGCAGAAGCGCGGCGGCGTTTGGTTCCCGCCCCTCCAACCCTCTTCCACTCCACCGCCACAGCCAATCCGGGCTGACCATCCCAGCAGGAAAAGCAACTGCCATGGAAACAGCATCCGCGGCTACTCCTCTGAGGTGCAGCAACTGGCCCAGAAGGCGGGCGGGCGGGGAAAGGTCTGAGGCCCTTGTTCCAGCCAGGAAGGGGAGGGCTGGATGCTATCAGGCTGGGGCACAGCTGCAACAATCTCCAACAGCTGAAGTGCTCTCTGAATGTGGCAGTCATTTCATTATGCAACTAAAGAATATCCATATTACCTAATTAGTAAGCTCAGAGAGCACCCAGGACTCAACCCTGAGCTACAAATAATGTCTTCCATTAGCACTTGTGAAATGTTTTACAATTACGATTAGAAGGAACCAGAAGCAACAGTGGCAGGCTTTTCTAAATTAACCACCAAACCCATAGTGGAAATGGGAGACTACAGGTTTCTCAGTATCTGCTTGAAGAGGTGCAGGTTAGAGATTGTTCAATGTGTTCAATTTGCAGGTGTTGACCAAGCGCACCTGAAGTTTGCTTGTCAATGGTCCTGCATTGTCTTGGGAGTTTGATGAGATCACTAGGACTCTATTCGAGTGAGGGTGACATGGAATAAATGCGTATCAAATTTGTAGGTGACGTAACTAGGAAGATTGACCAAAATCTTATATACAGGGCATTGAACATGTTACTGAAAATATCCTAAAACCCTTATATGAATATCCTAAAACCCTTATATGAATCAATGGTGGAGTTGCATCTGGAATATTACGTACTGTTCTGGCTGCTGCACCTCCAAAAGGAAATGGTGGAGTATGAGACATTTCAGAGGACAGTCTAGGACAGTGCTGGAGTGACTTCCCCAAGAGGAAAGGTTGCAACATTTGGGGAGTTTTAGCCTAGCAAGGAGATAAATGGTGGGGGGACATGATGAAGAGGCACAAAAGTATGCATAATGTAGATAAGGTAAACAAGGGTAAGCTATTTTCACCATCCCAAAACACTAGACTTAGAATCAAATGAATTTGAATCAAATGAATTTGAATCCTAGAAGAATCAGGAGAGAGAAAAAATGATTTTTAAAATACAAGGTATAATTAAACTTTGGAATTCTGTACGGCGAGCACTGGCTGTTCACCTTGATGGCAGAGGGCCTGCTTCTGAGGGCATCTGTAGGGCTTTGTTGTGCAGCTTGCTAGCCACTGTGCAAATAGACTGCTTGATCAGACCGCCCAGGGTGTGATCTAGGGGCATGGCTTATGTTCTAACCTCAACAGGCTTGAACACTGGCTAAACCTACCAGGATGATGGTCAGCATTACTAAAAGTAAAGTCATGTTGGAGAGCTCTAGTGTTTAGGTACAGATGAGGGAGTTCTGCTTCGAACTGTAAGATGGGGGCAAATAAATTTAATAACACAGTTGATGGCAACATGTGTCAGTCTCCTGTCTAGAGAATTCAGAATCTCTTAAAGACCACCCTCCCCCATCACACCCAAAGGGAGAGCTAGCTCTGCACCCTGCAGCAGGGGCCAAAAGGACACCCACCCTGCATACCCTCGGTCCTTTTCCTGCTGCTGCAGATGGCTCCATCGGCTGAAAAAGACATTGTTCTTCTCATCCATCTGATCTGTCCCACCTGCCATCTTCGACCGCTTTTATTGTAACGTCTTTCCTTGACTGTTGCGAGCTGCGGGCTGCACACCGTTCTCATAAGTTATGATTACTGTCGCTGCCCTTCACAAATGGGCTCAGCTCAACGCTATCTGGCCCGGGACGCCTTAGATCGGCCTTGGCTGCAGGACCCTTGACCCCCGCCTCCGCCCCCCCCCCCGCTGCCACGGAGAGAAGCCCAACTCCGCGCTCTTCTCGGTCCGTTCCAGGAGGGGGCTCGGGCTTGCACCGGGACCACCGGCTGCTCTCGCTCCCCCTCCCTGCGACCCCTCGGCTTGGGGCGAGGGGACAGCGGTGCGCCCGGCCTCTGCTCTGGGCGGAGAGAAGCTCCTTGACCGCGGCTGGCAGTTGAGGGCGCTTTAGGCCGGCAGCTCGAGCGGGATGGGAAGCTCCGGGGCAAACCCTTCCCCGGAAGGACGGGGCGCCGCTTCACCCGGCCGTCTGCCCCGGGCGCCCGTTTCCCTACAGAGGCACCGCAACCTCCGACCGAGGGGCGGCGCGGCACGCTGCAAGAACAGCCTTCTCCGGAAGGAAGCGGAAGCGCGTCCTCGGCGGTGTGGGAGGGGGCGCGTGCTGGGCGCCCGGGAGCTTCGGGTCCGGCGAGGAGGATGGTAGGCTGGGGAGGGGCGCCCGGGAGGGGGGAGCGGACGGGGTGGGGGTGAAGAGGCGGCCGTTCTCCCGCTGCTCTCCTTCCGCGCAGTCCGCCTCGCTGGAGCTGCAGTCACGGGAGGAGAAGGACGCCGAGCTGGACAAGCGCATCCAGGCGCTGCGGCGCAAGAACCAGGCGCTCATCCGTCGCTACCAGGTGGGCTCCCGGCGGGGAGGGGTCGGAGGGGAGAGGTCCGGCGGGGGGCTCGGCTCAGCGTCTCTCTCTTCCTCCGCGCAGGAGATCGAGGAGGACCGGCGCAAGGCCGAGCGGGAGGGCGTCGCGGTGACCGGGGCGCGGAAGGCCCGCTCGGCGGAGGCGGGCAGGCAGCCCGAGAGGCGGCGAGCGGAGCCGGAGGCCGCCAGGGTCCAGCCGGCGCCCGAGGTGAGGCCGGGCGAGCGGAAGGCCGGGGCGGCTGGGAGGGGAGCCGCCGCCGCCGCCGCCGCCGCCGGGCGAGCCTCACGCGCCCCGCTTCTCTCGCCAGGACCGGCGCGCGCTCGGGAGGAAGGCCGCCGCCGTCAGGGAGCCCCGGGGAGAGCCGCAGCCCGGAGGCNAGCCGCGGGGCCGAGCGGACGTAGCCGGAGGCGACCGGCGCTCCCAGGTAAGGCGTCGGGGCCGTATCGGGGAGGCGGGGGGGGGCTCCGGCGGCGGGGCGCTTGCAGGGCTTTTTCCCCCCCGCAGGAGTGGGAGGAGCGGCGGCGGCGGAACATCGAGCAGATGAACGAGGAGATGGAGAAGATCGCCGAGTACGAGCGCGGGCAGCGGGTGAGTGGTGCGCCGGGGAGGGGCTAGGGGGGCGGGCGGCCCCGGGCTCGGCTCAAGCCCCGCTGCTCTCCCCTGGGCAGGACGGGCTGCAAGAGAAGAACCCAGTCCGCAACTTCCTGGACGACCCGCGCCGCAGTGGCGCCTTCTCCGAGGCCGGCCGGCGGGAGGGCAGCCGCCGCCACGTTCGGAACTGGGGCGGCGCCGACTTTGATAAGGTCAAGACGGGCCTAGAGCCAGGCAAAGAGCCGCCCTCTCTGGTGCGTTTGAGAACGGATGTATGTGTGTGGGAGAGTCCTTTCGTTCGCTAATCCTTTCTGGGCTGGTGTGACAGCTCCCTCCCCCCCCCCCCCGCTTTCCCCATGGGATTTTCTCTGGCAGGGCCGGGGCAGTGGTCGGTGCAGGGGCCCGAAGACGACCTTGGATATGACGCTTTCCATGACTGGCCGCGAACGGGCTGAGTATACTCGCTGGAAGCAGGAACGGGAGCAGATTGACCGGGATCGCTTGGCCCGGCACCGCCAGCCCACTGGGGAGTGGCGCAGAGAATGGGATGCCGAGAAGACAGATCCCGCGTAGGTGCCCTGATCGCATGGGCCGGCTGCTGACCTTTCTTTGGGCAGGGGATCAGGAGGGGGTCCCTGGAGCAACTGAGCTGCAGAGGTAGAAGGGTCTCTCTTACCTCTGGCTTCTCGTCTTCACAGGCTGAAAGAAGGCAAGGGGCCTCGAGGCTCATCGACTGACAAGCAGGGTAAGGAGGGAACACGTGCTGTGGGGGCTTCCTCTTTGTCAGAGTGGGGACAGTGCCCTGGGGCAGAAAGCGGGTATTTGGCAAGCATCGCCTCTGGAGAGCCTCTGCCTTCCTTTGATCTTCTTACTGTTGTAGAGCCCTCCAAGTACCCTCCCAAACTACCCACTTTTGGGGAATTCATGGTTGGTCAGCCTGGGGACCGGCACCGGAAGATTCGAGGCCGTGGGCACCCCCGAGGGAGTCCTCCCAAGTCCTACAGGTGAACACAGGCTGGGAGGGTGGGAGCTACAGCAGAGGGTCTCTCTGCTTGTCCTGCCCTGGTGCGAGGCTCTCGGCTCAGCTTTGGCCTGTCTCTGCAGCATGCACGACAACCGGTGGGAAAAGGAGGAAGCAGACGGGACGTTGCCTGCATCTGCGGGGGAGGATAAGGCAGAGGCTGCCCCTGTGCCACAGGTGGGGAGGGCTGCATGTGGAGTGTTTCTTACTGCTCCCCAAACCAATCTGGGAGACCTAGGTGGGCCTCTGGGGAGTTCTGTCCCTGGGCCGGGGTTGAAGAAGCCTTCTCCCAAGCCGTGGTCCACAATTGAGTCAAAGGTAGTTCTTAGATCTCTCCTTTGATCCTTTTCTCTCCTGCCCTGGGATCCCCCAGACAGAGCCACAAATAGCCGCAGCGACAGAAGAGGATGAGGAAGAGGATGAGTGGGAGGACGTCAGCGAGGAGGAGGAGGAGGAGGAGGAAGGAGCTGAAGCCAACAGCAGCCAGGATTCTTCCTCGGAGGAAGATGGGCCTCATCCCTCCTGCTCCCCCCTGCCCCAGAGGCAGCCCAGACAGCAGCCCACCGTTCGGTCTGCTTCACCTGAAGAGGCTGCAGCCATGGAGGGGGCGCCCCTGACCCCCTTGGAGCCAGCAGAGGGATATGAGCCTGTGTCTGACTGGGGGGAAGAGATGGAGATGTGTTCCCCCCGAGCCAGCCACAGCAGCCAAAGCCCGTTGGCTGCGCCCAGGGAGGAACTGCCTGCTGGGACTGCTGGTAAAGGACACAGGCGGGCATGTGGAGGGCTCCTGAGGCAACCCTGGAGAGGTGGGGCAGGAAGAGGGTGTATTTTACTATGGGATGCTGCTCAGTGCTGTTCTTCCCTTCTTGCAGGAATGGGTCCCCCAGTACCACTGGCAGTGCAGGGATCCCTTCCTGTGGACTCCCCAGCAGGAGGGTCAGCCTCTGCTGCACCCAGAGCGTCGGAGGCAGAGATAAAAATGGATGCAGAAGTGCCCGAGCCCAAGGAGGTGGCTACCCGAGCAAGGTGGAAGATGGGGGTGAGTAGACTCCCTAGCATCGCATGATCATTTAGGGACCAGTTCTGGCCTGCCTCCCCCCCCCTCCCTCGCAGCTCACTGGAGCTGGAGATCACGGACTTTTAGTCTTCCAACATTCTTGTGTTACTTGCCCTACTCAGGGAAGGAGCTCTACTCTGCCCCCCTTCCCCCCCCCCCCCCCCCCCCCCCCCCCCCGTGGTTCACTGCCTGTTGCTTTTGATCCAGGCCATTGTTTCAGAGTTTTGGTGGAATTATTTCCACCAAATGTGATGTGATGCCTACTACAATTGCTTCCTTGCTGAGTCGATTGTAGCTGGAAGATCCTCTATGTAAAGGCCTTGAACCCACCTCCAGTTTGGGAAGTGGTTTGAGCTGCAGCAGGGCTGCCTTAAGGCCGCGGCCAAGGGGATCCCGTATCCTATAAGCCTAGGAGAAGCATGTGTGTTCCTCAAGTACTTCTCTCTATAGGGCTCCTCTTTTTATGCTGCATGCATCTGCTACCGCTTGGTTATTTGGGGAGAGAATCCGCTTTGCCTCACCGGGAGTGGGTGGGGTGTCGAGCCTTGTTTAGCCCTGTGCAGACTCTGAAGGGAGGCAACCATTGGCAGCATTACGAGTGGCCCCCAACAAACTCTACCAAGGGGTGCAGAAGGCAAAAAGTGCTTTGATGGCTGCAGGCTGAGGGAATCAGTTCTCATGAGCAGCTGCAAAACAGCTGCTACCAGCCAAGCATGGCACTGGTCTGGCAGGAAACCTTGTTTGTCCTTTCCTAAGCAAATGGCAGGTGGACCTTGATGCTGGGAAGGAAGGAATGGAATGGGGGGGGTGTCAGGCACCCCCCTCCTCTAAAAAATCTTTGCTTCACACAAGGACTGTGTGCTCTGTTAGGTTAAAATTCCAATTAAAGCATTACTGCCACTGTCAATTGATAAGTTGCTTAATTTAATAGCAGAGTCATCAGGCATGCATTACATTAATGTGATTGTGATGTTTAAAATTATTGATGTGCTGATGTCCAGAAATCAAAATAAGAGTTATACTTGGGATTTTAGCTTAAGTTTTAAAATATACATGCAGCATTTTATCGTTATTTTGGAGTATTTTTGCTACTCTTCAACCTGAAAGGCCACCAGAACAATAAATAGTTCATAAGAGGGCAATTCTTACCCTTCTAAGAATTTGGTAAGAAGAAGAAGAAAATGAGTAAATGAACAATTTTGGTTCAGAAACTCCAAAAGTTAGACTGCTATATAAGGCTGGGTTCGAAGATCCAGCTTAACAAACTTGGCTTGAAACTTAACAGCCTATTTGCAGAATATGCTTAACTTGCTTAATTTTAAGTTTTGTGGCTTGCCATGTTGCGCCAATACAGTTAGCTTGGTTAGTTTATGGCTCTGTGTAGTGCGCAAATATCAAAGGCTAGTTAATTTAGTCATCAGCTGAAGAGGGTTGCATGAACACAGCTGGCTTATGGCCCCCATCCTGGCTTGGTCTCAGAGAATCTCAAGACCCCCTTTTGGCAGGTCTTTGCCTGTGGCCAGCCTCCTTTCCGTTGCTGTTTCGTGCTTGGTGACTTTTTCTCTCCTGCCCACCAGGAGCACTTGGAGAGTGAGGCACCAGAGGCTGCACCCTGATGGTTCTTTTCCAGGGCCGCTTGGAATGCAGCCCACCTTGAACTTGAGCCAGACCATCATCTTCCTCAGAGCTGCTGGGTACAGTTGTGACACGCACATGCGCTCTGCATGTTTCTGCCACTCTTGAACAGTCTCTAGAGTTTGGGCTAAGCCAGTCGGCTGGTCCCCCCCCTCCCCAATCACCCTTTAGTGCTCTTAACACGCAAATCATAGATAAGTGGGGCCTACAGCTCTGCTCCCAAACCTTCTGCAATCTTCCTTGGATGGGAAAGGTGGTTTCTTCTCTCCTGTGTCTAGGAGGAGTGACCTGGGCTCTGGGAGAGTGTGAGGCCCTTCCTGTCGCGGGGTTGAGAGCTTGGCTTCTCCATTATCATATACAAAGTAAATAATGTCTTGATAATAAAGCTTGCGTGTGTCTTGCCTTCCTGCCGGCCCCATGGTCCTCTCAGAACAGCGAGTGGGGAGACCTTGTGGACATGTCTGGGGAGCGGAGTGGCTGTGGCGCAGAGGATTCTTGCTGGAATGGAAGATATAAAAGCTTGAATAATTTCTTGGAAGGGAGGAATTCTGGCCTGTGCTGGAGAAACTAGCTACCCTTTGGCAAGGCTCTGCTACTGTGCTGACCAGCAGTAGGGAGCCAAGGAGAAGCTTCTGGATAGCCTCAACTGCAGATGAATTTGCTCTCCCAGGTTATTTTGGCCCTGCCACACGCATTCAGAAGTATATGGTGGTGCCTAAAGCTTGGCTATCTGGGTTCCCCACAGTCTCTCTTGATGCCATCAATCATGGTCGGGATGGGAGCCCTGGTGTTGCAATGTTCTCTTCTTTGTCCCTGGCCAATTCATTTGTTAATGACAGGTAGGGAGACTTTCAGCCTGAAGCCCCAGGTTTGTTGGTGTGTATGTGTATGTGTGCGTGTGTGTCTCAAGACTGGATTCTCTATGTTCATAACAACATGAAAATGCCAGATGAGGTCATCCGCTGGCTCTGGATCAGGTATCACCGGTGTAACACCTGAAAGCTATGTATCCACATGTCACTTTGGCCCACATCAGCAAGCAACCTGGGCACCCTGTAAGGTGCTGCCCAATCAGATTCTGGGGGGGTTCCTTAATCCAGACTCCAGGCAGGTGTTGGTGTTTCCTTGCATTGGGTGTTGGGGATACAAAAAAGGATCATCCACAGCCCATGCCTCCCCCCGTGGTCAGTCCGTTTCCAGTCAACTGGAGCTCGCCAAAATGTTTTGAGAAAGCTGAGATGTTTGGAGGCTGTCCACATATTTCTCAGGGTGCCTGGCCTTGGGATGCTAGTACAAACTGGATCCGGCTGCTCTGGTCTGTATCACCTGTCATTCCCCCCTCCCAATTTCCCATCTCATACACACACCTTCATTGCCCTTCCATCCTTTCTCCCTGCTCCCAGCCTTTGATGGCAGAATGTCTGTCAGGTGCCAAGTTGAACCAGGCAGAGCTGTAGATCAGATGCGATGTCAGGTGCAAAGGATCAGGGTCCTATGTTAATTTGCAATTCAGAAGATTTATGTGGCTGAAGCCTAAACACAAGAATCTAGTTCAGTACCAAATTGAGAGAAGGGCCAGTGGAATTCAAAAGGGCCTCTCCTTGGACCCTCTATGGGATTGTAATGGGCTAAAGGAGAACCTGGCGCAGGTGGGAATGAGCACATTCCCATTTATTACTTCTACAGCTAAAACTAAGAAAGCTGGATTAAAACAATGGAGGAATTGGACACGAGCATAAGCAGCCTCAAAGTATGGAGGTTGTTGATCGCCTGAATAAAGATCCAATCTGCTCTAGAGATTATGCCAAGGTGACTGCCAACCAAACAACCAGACAGCTTCTTGAGAACGGCAACTCAGATCAAAGGCCACCAAAACAGAAGATTAAGATCAAGAGAAATGAGGATGAAACAACTAAATGTCTATGGAGGTTCTCTACCATCCAGGTCATGGTTGTTCCAAAGGTACTTTTCAAAAGGCAACTGGACTTTCTTGGTCCTTTTTTGAAAACCAAGATAATCCAGTCATCTTTTGAAAAGTACCTCTGGGATGAAATAAGTAATTTATCGTCCCCATTTACTATGGAAGAACAGAGAGAGGCTGTAAAGAAGATTTGGCCATGGAAGGCTGCTGGCTTGGATGACATCTTTATTGAACAATAAGGCAATTTGGACCAAAAGTGAGACTGGCTACTAGAAATGCTTGGAACAATGTAATATTCTTGGCCTCTGGTGAAAGACTACAGTTGCAGCAGTTTTAAAACCAGGTAAAGAGGCCAATCACCCTAAGAACTACTGCCCAATTTCTCTCTTGTATTCTACCTATAAAATTGCCTCGCTGTAGCCGTAGAGCCCTTTCTCATACAGCAGCAGGTTAGATTTTGCCCTGCAGAAAGTCGCCCTGCACAGATCGTCAATTTAACCCCATATGTTGAAGATGGATTCCAAAAGGGCAACGTAACAGGAACTGTATTCCCAGGTCTCATGGCTGCATGGGATACCATCAATCTTGGAACACTGAAGCAGGAAGTTTATGATGTGACTAAAGATTTTAAACTTACAAATATCATTAGAAATCTGCTTCAGAGCCACATTTTTTGTGGAGTTCCAGGGAAGGCAAAGCAGATGGAGGAATCAAAGGAATGGCTACAGCTAGTGTACTGGCTCCCACTCTTTTTAATATTTGCACCAATAATCAGTCACTTCCTGTAGGTAATGATAAGTATATGTATGCTGATGATCGAGCAATGACTGTACATGGAAAACATGTGAGGAGGTTGAACAATGTTTAACTGAAGATCTTTCAGAGCTGAAGCAATACTGTTGTGCTAACCAGTTGAAGCCAAATCCAGCAAAACCTCAGGTATACGCCTTCCATCTTCGCAATAAGCAGGCTGCTGGGAAGCTGCGTGTTATATGGAAAGGGATGTTATTGAAGCATTGCTACAACCCTAAATATTTAGGGGTCACTCTAGATAGGACCCTAACATGTAAGCAGCAGTGTACTAACATTAAATTGAAGGTCAGTGGATGAAATAACATCCTCAGGAAATTAACAAGCTCCAACTGGGGTGCCAAATCAACAAGCTCCAACTGGGGTGCCCCCCCCCTTCCATTCCCCACCATCTGGTCAGAGCTGAAGAAACTTCTTGGATGAGAAGCAAAACATCTTCAAAGAAAAACAAGAAAGTCCAGTTGGGACAAACCAGGGGACCTTAAGACAACAGCTCTAGCCTGCTCAGTCTGATACATCAGTACCTGCTGGGAAAGTAGATGTTGCTCTAAATGAGGCTAGCAGAATTATTACTAGATGCCTTAAACCTGCCCCTCTAGATAAGATCTACCACCTATCTGGCATTGCCCTGCCTGCAGTTTGCAGAGAAGAAGCAGCAAAGAGAGAGAGGCTCAAATCAATATCTAGACAACACCCTCTCTATGGCCTGCAACCAGCAGAGACTAAAATCTAGGAAAAGCTTCTTTAGGTCAACAGAAGACTTCAAAGAGCTTAAAAGCAGAGAGGACCAATGGAAAGGTACAAAGAACCAACACTGGATGGAAGCAACGGAGGAGCTGGCATCTGGGTCTGTGGGAAAGTGTGGAAATTGTTGAACAGGCTGTGCATGGCTGCAACAAGATCCAGAAGCACTCTGAAGAAAGGGGGCTATCTAGTACCTTCTGCCCTTTGAGGATTGTGGTGACATACAGACAACAACACATATGTACTGTGTATCTGTCCTGTGTGCCCTCATCAGTGCACACTTGAGGACCTCATGGCAGTGCGACAGAACACAATGTTGCTAGCTCCTGGACAGGATCTGTTTAACCTGTACATACTTTAATCTTGTACTTTACATTTTAAATGTTATGTTGTATGGAGCGCCTTATCTTAATTATGATGCTTCTGACATGAATAAACGAACAGGCCTGAAACAAATCTGAGCAGAGATGGATTGGATCAGCCAGACTCTTGTTCCTCTGCAGAAGGCCAAAACTGAGTGCACGTGACACCGCAGGCTGCTTTGGGCAGAGTGCCGGGAGGGAATAAGTGCAATAACGATTCAGAGAGGTGCTCCAGCAGGGTGAGGTGCCCTGCAGCGGCATAAGTGGCCTCATGTCAGGAGTCCATACTGGCTTTTCACCTTGAATTATACATGATCAGCAGGTAGTCTGCTGCCTAGTGCCGCAGCCAAGGGTGCAGTGATTCTGTACAGGTGGCCTCATATCCATAAAGTGAATGTACTGAAAGATAGCTGTGCTTTCCTAGTAATGCTCTGCACTATTTGTAGCCTGACAGCCTTCCACACTTCCTCCTTTGTACCTGTTAACGGTGGTGGAAAAAAAGCTCAGTGAACATTTCACCTCACTGACAGTCCATGCCTTCTGAAGAGACACCAGGTACTTTCATGGGCAACATTGCGTGCTGACATCCCCAGAACATCTCTGGCATTAGTTTGTCCAAGGAATTCATCCCCCACTGTAATACCCTGAATGATCAGATGTGGTCATCAGAAAGGCAGCTGACAGAAAACCAACTAAGCAGGACGATACCTGCAAGAAAATGTCCCACTGGGATGGGGGTAGGAGTTTCAAATTAATAGAGGATCCTCTCTTCTTTGGATCCCAACTGGGCCGTATGAAACTTGGTTCCTGGCCATCCTTTGGCATGGTGTGATCATTCTGTACCACGCTTGTTGCATAGACACACCATTCTGGTTGCTTACAAATATCCGCAAATTGCCAAGGCTCCTAACGATGCCATAGGGCTGGTCCCAAAGGTGGCTCTTCCATGCATCCTATGCCTTTGTATTGGGATAAGAGGGAAAACCCCTTGCTGACTCTAGACTACCCTTCTCTGACTTGGAGCAGCTGGTGCGAAGTCAAGGAGGAAGCTAGGTTTAAGGGGATGGCCTCAGCAACAGGTCGGTGGGTGTCTTCATTCTGTAGCCCGCAGGACACATGCGTAAGCCTGAGTGTGGCAGGGGCCAAGGAAAGTGTCCAGTTATTTAGGGCCAAGTAGAATTTTTGACCTAATGGAGATCTGTAGGGTCAACATTTGGGAGATGAAGGTACCTAATAAATATTAGATAAATAAATATTAAATATCGCAAGGGTATCCTATTAATAGTTGACTTAATTTAGTGCCTCCAGTTAGGGAACATTTTTTTAATAAAGTCTAGCTTCCTCTTTTAGAGTGTCCAACCCCCTCCTTGCAAAATTGCCATCTTCAATCATCTTGAGCAGAGGCATCACAACAACGCCTTGTCCTCCACCGTAAGTGCAATTTCTTTTTTCCCACCTGGGACCATGTAGAGGTGAGGGTTCAAGGGAGGATGGAGACTTCTTATTTCAGGCCTTTGCACATTGGATTAATTTTCCTCTTAAACTGTGTATCTTTTAAGAATGTATATTTGCTTTGTTTGGTAATCGGCACGCATTTTTGCCTCACAAGGGACCTTTCTGGTCTTTTGGATACAAATGATTAACAAGAGCCAAGTGGGATTTGTCTGCACTGATTTTTCTTTCCAAGCGGTTGAGGGAAATTCCAGGAGGGGACTCCCACCCCCACCCCCAGGCAAAGAGAAGAAGGAGCCAAATGCAGGGTGACCAAACAGAGTGCCCACTCCATTCATGGGCAGCAAGGCTCCTTCCTGGGCCATCCTGAGCAAAACAGGCCTGGCAGTGAGGAGAACTGCCCCTACTGACCCCAGCAACCTCATTCAGTCTAATGGCAGGTTTGGCTATAGGTCGCAGGAATCGAGAAGATTTAATAAATAATGTTTTTCTTTTAAAACTGGGTCAAAAATCTTCTCTTAAAGCTGGTGGGAGCTACCTTTAGGAGACCCACTCCTCACTCTCATCTGTCTGGCATCTTCGTGGGCCTCAAATCTATACTCTAAGATACCACCGAAGAACAGCGTCCATTTGCTTTACCATTTGTTGTCAAAGGACTGATTAAGCAATGTATGCGGGGAAAAAAATCTGCAGATTCATATTTTTAGCTTTGCTAACCCTTTCTGGTTGTTCCCTCCCATCCATGACCATAGAACTTCTGACGGAAACTAGATTCTACCAAAGTAAGTTGTCCGAAGTCATTTGCAGTTGAATATCCTCTAAATTTAAAGTAGGTTATCCTTTTTCTTAGGATTCCACTAAATGTTACAAAAGAGCTTCTAAGTTTTAAATTATGGAGAAAATAAGAAAGCATGAAAAATAAGCGATGAGAAAGCACCAGACAAAATAGTCAAGAGGTTCATAGCACAAAGTTGGCTTGAAGTGGAGGTGACAGACTTACTTGGAGATGGAGAACTGCTGTCAGTTAAGACTGGCATTTGGCTGGGCCCTGGTAAAGGTGGTAGACGGAGCAATTTGTCAAAGTTTGTATATTTATTAATATTTAAAAGCTCTCCAATAGCAGAAACTCTCTGGGCTATTTACAATAAAATGCACTAAAATGTACATTTGAAATAAATACATATAGAATAAAATCAAATAAAATGCAGAATGAAAACTACATACAAATTGGGCAGTAGCACTGTGGTCATTCAAAAGCTAAAAGGATGCAAATTGAAAGGAAATTAAGAACCAAAGTGGAAGGAAGAGGGCAACTGCACTATATTTTGTCTGAAATTCTTGTATAGTCCTGAATTTGTACTGCTATACATATCTTTTGAACTGCAAACACTTTTTGAAGGAGTGGAATATTGTTTCTGGAACATATAGTGGCAGGTTTTTTTAAATAGTTGGGCTTGCAAAGACACTTGATGAGGCCAAGAAGGAATGGATCCTTTGCAGTCCAGCTGTTTGTGGGAGGGCAGTATGTTTGCTTGCACGCTGCGTCTTCTAGGAACCCTCCAATTCTGCTTTGCCGATCTAGATTTAGCATGTTATGTGAACCCTCCTGGATTTGTGGGATTAAATATTTACTTTTGCATTCAGCCACTATTTCTAAATATTAAGATATGTATACACCAGGGGTGTCAAACTCATGTCACGTGACGTGTCGCGATGTATCGCGACTTTTCCCCCATTGCCGGAGCTGGGATGGGTGTGGTTTTGGCATGACGCATCCAGCCCACAGGCTGGCAGTTTGACACCCCTGGCATGCACTGTCTCTCTTGCTGGGTCACTGGCTTCTTCTCAAACTAGTCTACACTTTTTAAACCACACATTTTTACTTTAATTGTACCTTATTTCAGCTGATCTTGATTTTTTTTTAACCATAAAATGTTTTGTGTATGTGTTTCCCCATCAGCTTTATTTCTAATCTTCCCAATTTGTTCTGGGTTTTACCAACTTTTTATAACAGTTTTAGAATATTTTAGAATGGTTTACCAACAACTGAAAACTCAGTATGGAAAGAGGTCCAAACTGGGCTTAAAAAACATTTGCCTCTTCCTGAAACAGATGAAGTTGGCCTCCATCTTTTTGGGGAGGGGTGTAATACCCAGTTCCTCTCTTTCTCGTCCTTTTACAGAACCGCCCACCACTTGGAGATGGATTATCCTCTGGAAGGTCTTCCTGACATTTCTGACTACGATTATACAAACTTCACAGAGGAACCTCTCAGCGTAGAGCAGAGCAGCCTGAGTCCCATCGTCTTGGTGGCCATTGTCCTCTATGCCCTGGTGTTTCTAGTGGGCACGCTGGGCAACGGGGCTGTCATCTGGGTGTTGGGGTTCCAGATGCAGCGCACAGTGAGCTCAGTCTGGTTCCTTAACCTCTCGGTAGCAGATCTTCTCTGCTGCCTGTCTCTGCCTGTTCTGGCCATGTCCCTTGGCTCCAACAATCATTGGGAGCTGGGAGATTTTGCCTGCAAGCTTTTGCCCTCCATCATCATCCTCAATATGTTTGCCAGCATCCTGCTGCTGGCCCTAATCAGCATGGATCGTTGTGCCCTCGTGGTGAAGCCCGTCTGGTGCCAGAATCACCGTTCAACCCGCTTAGCCTGGAGACTGTGTGGCGGGGCCTGGGTCTTTGCCACCCTCCTCACTCTGCCCTCCTTCCTGACCAGAAGAACACAACATGAGCTTCATAACCTGATACTCTGTGTGGTCGACTATGGCTTTTTTGGTGTAAATCACCAAACTGCTGAGGTCTCTGTGGCGGTCACACGCTTCCTCGCTGGCTTCCTGGTCCCTTCGGTAGCCCTCAGCCTCTTCTACGGGCTGCTGGTTCTGCGTGTACGCAGCAGTCGCTTCACACGCTCCAGGAGGACCCTGAAAATGATCTTGGTGATCGTAGTGAGCTTTTTTGTCTGCTGGGCTCCTTATCAAGTGATTGGCCTGATTCTGGCCAGTAAGAATCCGAGGAGCCCCCTCTTCCAGTTCCTGAACCAGATGGACCCCCTGGCCGTGGCGCTCGCCAGCACCAACAGCGGCATCAACCCCATCATCTACGTCATTGCAGGTCAAGGCTTCAAGCTTAAAATCTGGCGCTCACTGACTGCCGTGTTGCACAATGTCCTGAATGAGGAAATATCAACAGCCACCTCCCAGGCTAGGGGGGCCACTCAGGGCTCCTGCACTACCATGGAAGTTCAGAGCACTTGCACAACCCTGTAAGCCCTTTCTGAGCAAGGCCACTGTGCCTCTATCTTTGAGCTTGCTCCCCTTTGGCTGGAAACATATTCCCAGCCACTCCCTCTGGCCATTCTGCCGTGCTAGTGTTGCTCTCCGCTGGGACCAACTGCCCAAGATCCAGTTACTGTCACTGACTCTCTGGACCACCGTTTCTCCCTTATTCAAAGATAAAAATAAATAAGTGGACAGAAATGTGCCTAAACTTTCGTGTATTGCTTCAGTATGCCTGCCTATGCCTGATATACTAACATTTCATTTATTGCAACTTATATGGCACTTCATTTCTGAGCAGCCTACACCGCTGATATCAGAAGGTGTAAACTAAAATCAATCCATGGGCTGCACCACTGTTAGGATCCTATTTTCCCCTAATTTGATTCCTCTTGTGGAATTAAATTCAGAAGAGAATAGAAAACAATAGACAACTCTTTCTAGTGTTGAAGGAAAAGTCTTCATCATGATTCAGTCCAAGCCGGGAATAAACAACATGGCGATTGCTTTAGAAAGAAGGTTGCAGTTTATTGAAGAGAAGAGCCAGACAGAAAGATGGCTCTGAAAGAAAAGAGAGAGAGCACATGTAGGGAGTGGGTTTTTATACCTTCTTGAGCCTTTTGTTTGGAGTTGTTCCTGTGGCATGAACCTTGACCTGAGTCTGAGTGTGCCTTTCTGGTATTCTGATGGTGGTGGATTAATCCTAGTATGTCCCAAAGGTCAATCCTGCTTCCCTGGGACTGTGGCTGATGACTATTAGATTTTTGGTGTGAGGGATTGTTGATTCTAGGGATCTTTCTTCCTAATCCCAGTTTCCTGACTCTAGTCAGGAATATATTCTGCCTTTTAAATATTTCCAAAAACATTTCTTTCTCGGGGGGTGGGGGTGTGACTTCCCACACTAGATATTCATGTCAGCAGAGAAAGCAATAGCAAGCTACAGATCCAGTTTTATTGCAAAGCAACCAGCACCAGTCAAGTATTTTCAGAGCAACAATCCACCCGTGTACTAGATAACAAAGCTATAGTATATGAGAATATAGTACTCTTCATTCACAGCGGGAGACTGTGAGTTCTAGTCCTGCCTTAAGCCAGCTGGGTGACTTTGGATCAGTCCCTTCGCTCAGCCCAACCCACCTCACAGGGTTGTTGTGGGGAAAACAGTAGGAGGAAGTGGTGTTGGATAAGTTCGCCCCCTTGAGTTATTTATAAAAATGATAAAAGAGGGGTATAAATATAATAAACTCCCAAAAACAAAAATTAAGGTAACGTATATCACCTGTTCCAACTCACGTCACTGATTTAAAAAGTCTGTCCAGTCAACCAATCGCCACACAGCCAGTGCAGCCCAGGTATCCGTGCGGCACAAACTTCTCATAAACGAGCAAACCATACCTGCTCGGTCCGAGTTCCTTGCTGACCTGCCCAAGGGGGGGGCGGGGGGCGAGCTATCTCCCTTTCTCCGCCCACCCACCCCCCACCTCTCGCAGCTTCCCAGGCTTTCCGCCACAGCCCCGCCCCGCCGCGCCGCGCCCGCCCACCCAGCGCTTCCTGTCCCCGCCCGCCCGGCGCCTGTCGTGCCGCCGGCCACCGGGGGGAGCGCCCGGGATGGCGGCGGAGGGCTGGGACTGTCCCGCCACGCGCGCCCGCCTGGAGGCCGCCTACTTCCCGCCGGGTTGCACCGACCAGGAACGGGAGGACTTCTGGGCTTTCTTCCGGCGGCTGCGCGGCTTCTGCGAGCGGCGGGGCTCCGGGGCGGGGGGCCGACCGGCCTACGACCCTGAGCGCCGCCTGAACCTGCGGCTGCCGCGGCGAGAGGCGGCCGGCGTGTCCCCGGCGCGAGCGCGCCGCTTTGGCCTGGCGCTGCTCCGCTTCCTGGACTTTGCGCAGCGGCGGAGCTTGGCCCGGCTGGCGCGGCTGCTGCGGGAGCGCGCCGCCCTGCCCATCGCCCGCTCGCGGGAGGCGCTGCTGGCCGCCTTGGCGCGCAGCCCGGTGGTGCTGGTGGCCGGGGACACGGGCTGCGGCAAGTCCACGCAGGTGCCCCAGTTCCTGCTGGCCGCCGGCTACGCCCACGTGGCCTGCACCCAGCCGCGGCGCCTGGCCTGCGTGGCCCTGGCCCAGCGCGTGGCCCGCGAGAGCCTGGGGCGCTTCGGGGACCAGGTGAGCACAGGCGCGCGGGCGGCCGGCCGGGGGCAGCCGGGGCCGGGAGTGACCGCTCTCCTTTCCCTGCGCAGGTCGGCTACCAGATCCGCTTCGAGAGCGCTCGCTCGCCCGCCACGCGCATCGTCTTCCTGACCGAAGGGCTGCTCCTGCGCCAGGCCCAGAGGGAGCCCACGCTGCCCGCCTACCGGGTGCTGATCGTGGACGAGGTCCATGAGCGCCACTTGCACTGTGACTTCCTGCTGGGCGTCCTGCGCCGGCTCCTGCCTGTCCGGGCTGACCTCAAGCTGGTGCTCATGTCTGCCACCATCAACATCCGGCTCTTTGCTGACTATTTTGGGGGCGCTCCTGTGATCCAAGTTCCTGGACGCCTCTTCCCCATCACGGTGAGGGTGCAGGAAGAAAAACACCCAGGAACTGGTCCAGAGGACGCCTGCCTGCTGGAACAAGGTTCCCCTGAGAAATTGAAGGCCTGGCCTGCTGGTGTTTTGGAGGGCTTTTGGCAAGGGTGGTTGAAGCCCCTTCTGGGAAGTGGGTTTATTTGTTTGTTTCTCAGATTTGCTGTCTTTTGTGGTATACGGATTTCATACATCAATAAATAATAGTAATTTGCTAACTCCTTGTACTCGCCCTACTCTGTGAGTTTTTAATCGGAAGCTGCCCATGTCCTTCCAGCTGTAGTTTTTGTAACATAGAAGGCTTAAAATTGTGGTTTGAAAGAAGGCTAGGTGGGCCAATGTGACTTCCTGTTCCATGCAGGTCCTCTATGAGCCCATCCCCCCTGAGGAAAGCAGCCGTGGGCGCAGGGAGAGGCTGGGCGCCCAGCCCTTCCTGCGGGTGCTCCAGGCTATCGACCACAAGTACCCGCCAGAGGAGAGGGGAGACCTGCTCATCTTCCTCAGTGGAGTGGCTGAGATTGGGGCAGTGGTGGAGGCTGCGCAGTCTTACGCGGCCTTCACTAAGCGCTGGGTGGTCCTTCCTCTGCACAGCACCCTCTCTGTGGCTGAGCAGGACAAGGTGAGTCGAGCAGGGCTGGAGAGGTAAACTTCTTCCTCCCACTTTCAACGGTGGGAGGGTTATTATGGAGAGGTGACCAATTGAATCCAGGGTGCTGGTGTCACCAGATGGGGTGCGGCTAGAGTTTGGGGGCCCTTTCAGCTTGTTGTTGTCTTGTCATCCTTGTATTTTTTCATGGAAAGAGGAGAAACCTTTAGCAAATAGCACTTAGACTCGCATTGCGCTCCACAGCACTCTCTAAGCCGTTCACAAATGGAGTCAGATTTTTTTTGGGGGGTGGCACCTAATGGCAGCTTTCTAGGCTTCGGTTGCAGTTTTTGTTATCTTTCTGTGGTCAGAGATATGGGACTTACTTTTTAAAAACAACAACAACAAAACCAGAATCTCTTAACAGCCATTGTCATTGCTCTTCAGATCTTTGGCCTTCCTCCACCAGGAGTCCGGAAGTGCATCATTTCCACCAACATTGCCGAGACTTCCGTGACCATTGATGGGGTGCGATTTGTTGTTGATGCAGGTGAGAGTTCTCCCCCCCCCCCGGGGTTTGGCCGATGGAGGAGAGCTGCTTTTTTTCACCCAGGAAGCAAAGGAGGTGAACTTGAAGGGAATAATCATGCAAAGCCATTCCAGAAGCAACCAGGGCAGAAGGGAAAGAAGAGGCTCAGGCTGGCTCCCCCCTGGGCCGTAAGGAGGGGAAGAGGAGGGAAGCCCCAAGGGGACTCTCATTGGAGGGAGCTCCTGGTGTCCTGGGGCGTCTTGATCTGATTTGGTGCACAGGGTTGGTTCACATGTGTTATTTCTGCTTTCCCAGAACTCAGACCACATTTCTGCCCTTGTTGCTTTTGTAGAGCTTCTGGATGTTCCCTTCCAGGCCATCTCCATAACTCTAGACTATGGGGACGGACATGGGGGCCCCAAAATGGAGTTGGGATTAATCAGCCTGGGCTGTTTTGTGCAGTTCCGTCTTTCCTTGGAATGGCACAAACTGACCCAAGATAAAATATTGATGAGGATGATTTATTGCCTGCCTTAGCAACTCCCACTGTAAAACTAGTAAATGGAGATCAAGTCAGTTGACCCCCAAAGCTGTGAGCAGAGGAAACTGCCGCCACTCCTGGGCTTTGGAGAAAGGGGGGGGGAAAGGAAGGAAGGGCAGTAATCTTTGGAAAGACCTGCAGAAGGAAACGGTGCCAAAGCATTCTGCCATGATTGATCAAGGTCAACAAAGGATGGATACGCTTGAGTGTCCCCAGGGCAAAAATAATATCATTGACAGTCCCAATCGGTTCGCTTGTAGGAACAATATAAGGACTAAAAGATAACATGGACAACCGCATACAGGAACCAGAGTCTAGACCTCTGGTGGTGTCCAGCGATCAAATACATCAACTGTTGATGATGGGCCCCAAAGGGCCAGATCCGAGGGTAGGGCTCATCTCACTGAGCGGCCTGTCTGGTGATGACCGTTAGAAGCCAAAAGAAGACTATGCTGGGATTTCCCTCCTTTGATTGAGCTCTGGGCTTTGCTGCTGATGTCCCAACCCCATTCTTGGGACACCTGCTTTGATATCTCCAAAGTTTTGTGTATCTCTTTTCCTCATGGTCCCCCCCCC